TGGTGTCAGTGGGAGGAATAGTGCCCCATCATAGGTGTCAGTGGGAGGAGGAATAGTGCCCCATCATTGGTGTCAGTGGGGGGAGGAATAGTGCCCCATCATAGGTGTCAGTGGGGGGAATAGTGCCCCATCATTGGTATCAGTGGGGGGAGGAATAGTGCCCCATCATAGGTGTCAGTGGGGGGAGGAATAGTGCCCCATCATAGGTGTCAATGGGGGGAGGAATAGTGCCCCATCATAGGTGTCAGTGGGGGGAGGAATAGTGCCCCATCCTTGGTGTCAGTGGGGGGAGGAATAGTGCCCCATCCTGGTGTCAGTGGGGGGAGGAATAGTGCCCCATCCTTGGTGTCAGTGGGGGGAGGAATAGTGCCCCATCCTTGGTGTCAGTGGGGGGAGGAATAGTGCCCCATCCTTGGTGTCAGTGGGGGGAGGAATAGTGCCCCATCCTTGGTGTCAGTGGGGGGAGGAATAGTGCCCCATCCTTGGTGTCAGTGGGGGGAGGAATACTGCCCCATCCTTGGTGTCAGTGGGGGGAGGAATTGTGCCCCATCCTTGGTGTCAGTGGGGGGAGGAATTGTGCCCCATCCTTGGTGTCAGTGGGGGGGGGAATCGTGTGCCCCATCCTTGGTGTCAGTGGGGGAGGAATAGTGCCCCATCATAGGTGTCAGTGGGGGGAGGAATAGTGCCCCATCATAGGTGTCAGTGGGGGGAGGAATAGTGCCCCATCCTTGGTGTCAGTGGGGGGAGGAATAGTGCCCCATCCTTGGTGTCAGTGGGGGAGGAATAGTGCCCCATCCTTGGTGTCAGTGGGGGGAGGAATAGTGCCCCATCCTTGGTGTCAGTGGGGGGAGGAATAGTGCCCCATCCTTGGTGTCAGTGGGGGGAGGAATAGTGCCCCATCCTTGGTGTCAGTGGGGGGAGGAATAGTGCCCATCCTTGGTGTCAGTGGGGGGAGGAATACTGCCCCATCCTTGGTGTCAGTGGGGGGAGGAATTGTGCCCCATCCTTGGTGTCAGTGGGGGGAGGAATTGTGCCCCATCCTTGGTGTCAGTGGGGGGAGGAATCGTGCCCCATCCTTGGTGTCAGTGGGGGAAGAATAGTGCCCCATCGTTGGTGTCATTTGGGGGAGGAATAGTGCCCCATCGTTGGTGTCAGTGGGAGGAATAGTGCCCCATCCTTGGTGTCAGTGGGGGGAGGAATCGTGCCCCATCCTTGGTGTCAGTGGGGGAAGAATAGTGCCCCATCGTTGGTGTCATTTGGGGGAGGAATAGTGCCCCATCGTTGGTGTCAGTGGGAGGAATAGTGCCCCATCGTTGGTGTCAGTGGGAGGAATAGTGTCCCATCGTTGGTGTCAGTGGGAGGAATAGTGCCCCATTATTGGTATTAGTGACACCAATGATGGGGCACTATTCCCACTGACACCAATGATACTTACCTTGCAGACCCCTGCTCCAGCCTGGGCTCGCTCGCTCCCTCCCTCTCCCATGGTACCGACACTTACCTGTCAGCTGTCTTCCTTCTCCGGCCGCTCTCCTCCTCTTCACTCGCTCGATCTTCGCGGTGCCGCTCGGCTCCTCCTCTCCAAGCTCCACCTCCTTGCCAGTGATTGGCCGCCTGTGTGCCTCTCCTGAGCTACAGTGCCGGCGGCCAATCACAGGCGAGGATTGATCTCGAGGTGTGTCCAGATGACAGGGGCGGCATGTCATCCTGCCCACACCTGGAGATGGCGGTGGCGGCGGCGCGGAGGAGCGGTGTCTCGGTTCCTAAGACCATCGGAAATATGTGTTTTCCGATGGTCTTAGGCGACCCCTGTGGAAGCGTCGTTCGACCCCCAAAGGGGTCGCGACCCCCAGGTTGAGAACCGCTGTCTTAGATTGTAAGCTGCAAGGGACAGGGCCCTCCTAACCCTCTTGTATTGAACTGCATTGTTGCTGTATTGTCTCCCGTTATATTGTACAGCGCTGATGCATGGTGCAACCGCTGTTTCCATACTGGCACAGGGTCAACGCTCCGAACGCAGATGTGCGCGGGGGGGCCGAGGGTACTTTTTTTTTTTTTGTTTTGTTTTTTTTTTTAGTTATTTAGATTTTTTTAATTATTTTAACACTGTCCCTTTCATTTTTTTTTTTATTTGATCACTTTTAATGCTATCACAGGGAATGCAAATATCCCCTATAACTTCAATGGGCATTGTCATATATTCTTTTTTGAGAAATCTGGGTTCTATCAGACTCTAGATCTCTCCTCTGCCCTTACATTATCTAATCAAATGAAGATCGGTGTGATCAGATGCTTTCCCAATTTACAAATGGTGCTGTTTATATCCTGTGAAACTTAAGTGATGAAATGCTTGTAGCTTCTGATTTCTTAGACTATAGAGATGATTGGCACCATTCTGGTCTCCAGTCAGCTCTATGGTCAGCTGGCAGAAACACTGGCTGCATTCTCAGATTGCCCTGATGGCACGAGACTGCCCAAGAAGGCCGTGGAAGGCAGTGGGGGAGGGGGGCATTGTCTCCTGCTACTTGTAAAAGCAATCCTGCAGCTAGTTAGCTACTAGGATTGCTTTTACATGAAAGCTGAGGTGCCAGTTTTTAAATGTAATTACCGTTTTTTTTTTTTTTTTTTTTTTTCTTCACTATAAAGTAGATCAGAAACTCATCTGTCACTTTCCCCCTCCAGCTAAAAGAGAAAGTTTCTTTAGTTTATTTCCCAAAAAGAAACCAATGTTTCCTTTCAGTTTCGTAAAAGATACTAAGTATCCTTTAGCTTCGGGGAAACTGACAGCTAATGTTGTGAGCTATAGTGGAAAAAAAAAAAAAAAAAAGACTGCAATTCCATTTAAAAATCAGCACTGACATACACTTCGTATTGTGAAAATTGTTTGGGACATTCCGTTTTTTGTTTTTTGTGTTGTGGTGTTTCTGAAGAATAAATAGTGTTGGTTTAAAAAAATAAAAACATTTACTGGAAAAAGTTTACATTGTATTAATTATTTTGCCACAATTTAAAATTACACTAAAATGATGTCTGTGATACAAAGAATGGCAAAGTTATTGCAAATGGAAAAAGGCGCTGACAAAGAAATAACAAACGACAAAAATTTAATTGGTAAAAAAAAAAAATCTGCAGTGAAATAATGGCTAAGGAGATGAGGAGTTAATAAAGGGGTTGCATAGAAATACCTTTAAATTAAAAAAAGTTTTTGTTTACTGGTAAGGCTTCTTTAACTGGTGTCATATGCAGATGAAAGGCACACCTTTAAACTACATATGAATGAAAGGATAAATAAAATATAGCAATACATTGTTACTCAGTGACACTTGCAGACTATCTGCAAGTGTCAGTTTACTGCAGTGACTGCATTTGGACTGCGGCTACGTAAGGGAAAAAAAATTTGCTGCTGTCATTTTGACAGCAGATAATTGCCTATAATAGTGGCGGCAAAGCAGCGTCATGGGGAAAGCTGTTGAATGTTGGAAAGGCACCTTAAAAATGTATAGGTTTTTAGGACATATCGTCTAAGTTTGAGGCCCTGTTCACACTTGGTGATTTGAAATTGCTAGCAAAATCGCTGTGATCCTGCCCACAATTTCAAATTGTGGAAAAATGTGTGATGCGTTTGGGTGTTATTCTTAATGGTACCCCAAATGTGGAGCAAATTTGCTGCAGTTGTTGCCAAATTTTCAAACTTGTTGCCCAAAAGTGAAAAATAGCATCTTTAGGGTCTGAAGGAGGAGCCTCCTGAGCATGTTCCGAAATGCATTACCGCCCCCTTCACCTCCTATATCTGACTCTGCTCTCCAAGCCTCATTTTGATGCACAGGCACATCCTGGGCTCTACTTCCTGATCCTATAGACAGTTTGCTGCTGGAGGGCTGGATGTTCCACCTGGATCTTATTACACCGCACGATGAGTCATTTTAACTATTTATCTTGTAAGTGCAATTTATCTATTGTTTACTAATTGTCAATACTGCACTTCCTCTTTTTCATGTTACTGCATTAGAGTCTTGCTTCCACTCTAAGAAGAGCTGCCTCAGTGTTACTGCTCCCATCCATCCATACATCCATCCATTTGGCACTTTTATCCTACAGAGGTTGGGCTCTAACAAGCACGCCCTATATAATATACATTTTCTTTTGAGTGACAAACGTGCATACAGCAGCCCATTGAAGTGAATGGGCTGCCCTATGTGCAACAGGCAGAAATGCATGTAACTCAGAGTTTAGAATGCTTGTTCCTGCTATGTGATATCTGCAGTGTCCTTCACTGGCAACACTGCTGCAAAAATTCCTCTCTCCCCACTGTTTTTTTCTGCTGCTCACACACTTCTGATCATTACCTATTTTTTGAAATGAAGCAGGGGTTCCATTGATAGCTATAAACCTGACCACCTTAGCGGAAATAAAGCAGGGACTGCAAGTTTGCAGGCAGTGTGCGTGTTGCAGCAGCATTAGTACTGAAGAGTACCATAGGGGTAGGTCTTAATGCTGCCATTTAAAAAAAAGTGGCTGAGTGGTTTGCACTAGGAGCATTAGGGTCATCGGTTCAAATCTCAACCACAGCACTACCCGCATGGAGTTCTCCCTGTGCTTGCGTGGGTTTTCTCCAAGGACTTTGCTTTGATCCCTCACTTCAAAGACATGCTGGTAGGTTGGTTGGCTCCTGTCGAAATTGGCCCTAGTGTATGTGTCTGCAAGCATGGGAGTTGGGGACCTTTGATTGTAAGCTCCTTGAGGGCAGGGACTGATGCGAATGTATAATATTTTTGTGAAGTGCTACACAAATTGATGTCACTATAAAGATACCTGTATTAAATTAAAAAAAAAAAAAAAAACAGCTGTCATACGTTAACTTATAGAATAGTAATAGTTGTACATCTAGTGCTTATACTTGCTATAGATTTTAAAAGTGATGACAGAGATGATTTCCTCTCTGATGAGCATAATACCAAAGTCAGTCTTTTGTGTGTTAACCTTTGTAATTGTTTCCTTAGGCCATGGATCTGTTTTGAATGAAGATGGAGAAGTTGAGATGGATGCTATTATCATGGATGGCAAGGATTTATCCTCGGGAGCTGTCTCTGCAGTCAAATGTATTGCTAACCCAGTAAAACTTGCTCGCCTTGTAATGGAAAAGGTACTTTAACAAAAATGTCATGGTTGTACGGCAAATCTGGCTAAGCTGTGTACTTATCTTTCCCAAATCACTAGCATGGATAGCATTATCAAAATACAGGCATACCTCGGTTTACAAATTTAATTCTGCAGGACTTTTTATATAGTGAAAAATTTGTAAACCGAAACGCGGTTTCCCATAGGAATGCATTGAAAACCAATTAATCCGTTCCGGAGGTCAGAAAAATGTAAACGTTACTAAAATACAGCATGAGTTATTTTATCAAGTCATGTGGTATTTTAGTAGCGACAACCATGTGTTAATGTTTCAGCTGTTAGCGGGGTTCCCCACTGACAGCTGAATGTAAAATAATTGCCGGCAATTAAAAAAATAAATAAATGGCGTGGGGTCTCCCCTCCCATCCAAACCAAGCCCTTCGAATCTGATATGGATTTTGATATTTATATAGCGCCAAAAGGTTTGCTCAGCACTGTACATTATAGTGGGGGACAGTACATGAGACAATACAGTAACAAAATAATACACAAGGGGTTTAAGGGCCCTGCTCTTTCGAGCTTACAATCTAGGAGGGAGGGGATAGTGGTACAGGAGGAAGTGGCTGTGGGGGATGGAGTGGTAGGAGGAGTGGAGGAGATCGGCTGTTAGGTGAGAGTGGGGTAGGCTTCCCTGAAGAGATGGGTTTTCAGGGTGCGCCTAAAGGTGAGGAGGGTAGGTGACAGTCTGATGGATTGGGGTAGTGAGTTCCAGAGGATGGGGGGGGAAGTCCTGGAGAAGTCCTGCAGTTGGGCGTGGGAGGAGGAGACCAGGGAGCTAGAAAGTAGGAGGTCTTGTGAGGAGCAAAGACTACGGGTTTGGGTGGTGTTTGGGTATTGGGTAGTTTGGGGCAGCGTTATGAATGGCTTTGTATGTCAATGTTATTAGTTTGAATTTAATGCATTGGGCAATCGGAAGCCAGTGGAGGGAATGACAGAGGGGGGGGGTGGCAGAATCGGAGCGGTTGGTAAGGTGGATGAGTCTGGCCGCTGAGTTAAGGATAGACTGAAGCAGAGATAGCCTGTGTTGGGGTAGGCTGGTGAGAAGGGAGTTGCAGTAGTCCAGATGTGAGATAATAAGGGAGTGAACGAGTTGTTTAGTAGTGTCTGGGGTTAGGAACGTACGTATTTTGGAGATGTTGCAGAGGTGGAGCCTGCATGAGTTTGCCAGCGATTGGACATGGGGTTGGAAGGACAGGTTTAAGTCCAGAGTGACACCTAGGACTTTGGCTTGTGGGGTGGGACTGATGGTAGCGTTGTGGGTCGTGATGGAGAGGATGGGGGTGGGAGGGCACAGGCTGGGGGGAAAATTAGGAGCTCGGTTTTGGAAAGGTTCAATTTGAGGAAATGGAGCGACATCTAGTCTGATAAGTCGTTCAGTAGGTGGGTGATACGGGCGGAGACTGAAGGGGTTGAGGTGAGGGGTGGAGAGGTAAATTTGCATGTCATCAGCGTACAGGGTGATAGTTGAAGCCGTGGGAGTGTATCAGTTTGCCGAGGGAGGAGGTGTAGATGGAGAAGAGAAGGGGCCCAAGGACAGAGCCTTGGGGGACCCCAACAGAGAGGGGGAGAGAGGGAAGATGGTAGCGTTATAGGTAACGCTGAAGGAGCGTTGGGATAGATAGGAGGAGAGCCAGGAGAGAGCGGAGTCTCTGATGCCAAGGGAGTGTAGTTTATTGAGGAGTAGGGGGTGGTCAACTGTGTTGAAGGCCGCGGAGAGGTCAAGGAGTAGGAGGACTGAGTAGTGGCCATTAGCTTTGGCGGTTAGCAGGTCATTAGTGATTTTGAGTAGGACGGTTTCAGTGGAGTGTAGGGGAAGGAAGCCAGACTATAGTGGATCGAGGAGGTTGTTGTCAGTGAGCTGGGAGCTTAGGCGATTGTAGACTAAGCGCTCAAGGAGCTTGGATGTAAATGGCAGCTGGGAGATGGGTCTAAGGTTGTTCAGGTCGGTGGGGTCCAGGGAGGGTTTTTTTTGAGTATGGGGGGTGATGTGCGTGTGCTTTAGGGGTGAGGGGAATGCGCCAGTAGAGAGGGAGAGATTGAAGATGTGGGTGAGGGAGCGTAGGATGGAGGAGGAGGGTGACTGGAGGAGTTGTGTGGGGACAGGGTCGAGGGGGGCAAGTGGTGAGGCGAGCTTCTGAGAAGACCTTAGTGACCTCCTCAGTGGTAGCAAGGCTGAAGGTGCGGGGTGTTGGGGAGGTTATAGTGTGCGGGATGTTAGGTATGGTGGGGGGCAGGGCAGTTGTGAGGTCAGAGGAGGGGAGAGTTGAAGGGGTTATAGTGGGAGGGAGGCTAGGTGGGGAGGTAGATTGAGCATTGGCGATGTCCTTATGGATTGCGTCGATCTTGTTTGGAAGTGATTGGCAATCTCATGGGCGGTGAGTAAGGTACTGGGTGGGGGTGGGGGGGAGAGAGTAGGGAGTTGAAAGTGGAGAAGAGCCGGCGAGGACAGGTGGAGAGGGTGTTGATGAGGGTTACGAAGTAGGCTTGTTTGGCGGCGTGGAGGGAGGAGGTGTAGGTGAGGAAGGTGGATTTGTAGAGGGAGACCGCTCGAGGGGATCTGGTTTTGCGCCATAATCGCTCCAGCGCACGACTGCGTCATTTAAGATTTTTTGTGTGGTCGTTCTGCCAGGGTTGAAGCGGTTGGGGTCTAATGCTGCGTGTGGTTAGGGGTGCTAAGGTTATATCCCTTTGGGATATAATTGTAGTGCTGGCAGCTATGTATTATATTGATCTACATACCATAGTGCAGGATTAATTTTTCTTGCAGGTGGTATACCTGCTCATTTGTCTTGGAAAAATGCCTCCAGGTCATGCAAAATCTTTAGTCGTCTTGCATGAACCGCATGTTTGAGATCTCCCCAGAGTGGCTCAATGATATTAAGATCAGGAGACTGTTATGGCCTCTCCAGAACCTTCACCTTTTTCTGCTGTAACCACTGGAGGGTCAACTTAGCCTTGTGCTGAATTGAATTGACATTTTCAGTATCACTTGCGATATGTGGTCATGTGACTGACTTAAGTCATGCGATAAGCTTTAGTGAATTGTACCCATTGTCATGCTTGAAAGACCAAGAGCATCCCGTGCACAGCTTTCATGCAGAAGAATGAAAATTCTCTGCCAGTATTTTCCGATAACATGCTGTGTTCATCTTGCCATCAATTTTCACAAGATTCACTGTGCATTTAGACCTCATACACCCTGAAAATCAGTGAGCCACCACCATGCTTCACATTGGAGATGGTATTCTTGTCGCACCAAACATATTATTATTATTATTATTTATTATTATACAGTATTTATAAAGCGCCAATAGTTTGCTCAGCGCTGTACATTACAAAGGGGGACAGAACATGTGACAGAACAACAACAATACAATGCAAAACATGAGGGGATCGAGGGCCCTGCTCTTTCGAGCTTACAATCTAGGAGGGAGGGGATGGCGGCACAGGAGGAGATAGCTGTGGGGGATGGGGTGGTAGGAAGAGTGGAGGAGGTTGGCAAGTTAGCAGGGGATGGGGTAGGCTTCCCTGAAGAGGTGGGTTTTCAGGGAGCGCCTAAAGGAGAGGAGAGTAGGTGATAATCTGATGGGTTGGGGCAGGGAGTTCCAGAGGATAGGTGACACCCTGGAGAAGTCCTGGAGGCGGGCATGGGAGGAGGAGACCAGGGAAACTAGAGAGAAGGAGGTCTTGTGAGGAGCGGAGTGTGGTGCTGGGTGGTACTTGGATATTAGGTCAGTGATGTAGTTCGGGGCAGTATGGCGTACGGCCTTGTACGTCAGTGTTAGGATTTTAAATTTGATCAGTTGGGCAATCGGAAGCCAGTGGAGGGATTGGCAGAGGGGGGTGGCGGAAATGGAGCGGTTGGAAAGGTGAATGAGTCTGGCAGCCGTATTCAGGATCGACTGAAGCGGGGATAGCCTGTGGCGAGGCAGGCCAGTAAGGAGGGAGTTGCAGTAATGGAGTCGTGATATGATGAAGGAGTGGATGAGCTGTTTAGTGGTTTCTGGGGTTAGGAACGTGCGGATTTTGGTGATGTTGCGGAGGTGGAGTCTGCACGAGTTTGTTAAAGATTGGACTTGGGGCTGGAAGGATAGGTTGGAGTCCAGAATGACACCAAGTACTCTGGCCTGCGGGGTGGGTTTGATGGTGGCGTTGTTGGACATGATGGAGAAGTCAATGGGGGGTGGTGTCCGGGCTGGGGGGAAGACCAGAAACTCGGTTTTGGAGAGGTTCAGTTTAAGGAAGTGGAGCGACATCCAGTCATAGGGGTCATTTCACTAAGATAAATACCGCATTAATTTTGGAGTTAAACTCATGTGGTATTTATCTCAAAAGTATTCAATTCATTAAAAAAAATGCATTATTTACCAAATGCGTTTAAATATTTGTTTTGCTTTATTTAGCGCTTAAATTCTGTGTTATTTTTAAATTTTTTTCACAGAAGGCACACAGAAATATTGTGAAACTATGAAAACATTCTAGTGTGCTCTCCCTCTGATGAAATGTTACAATTTATTTTTATTCCTGAGCTCAGAGGAGAACATTTTCACACTGATACATTGTATATGTATTACTTCCTGGCCAGTGCAGAGTTCTTATTGTTTTGTACATTTCTAAAATACCTCCAGCAAATACCAGGTGTTAAATAATGAATGTGTGTGTTTTTTTTTTTTTTAGTGAATTGACTTTATCTCATGATTTTTTGCAGTATTTATCTCACTATTTTAACAAATGTGCGGTATTTATCTAACGTTTCATATTTTACTTTGATGAATTGACTTTTATTATCTCATACAATATTTACAAAAAATGGATCACGTGACCTTCATATCGCATATGATAACTTTTAGTGAAGTGACCCCATAGTGCTTAAGGGTGTGACCATAAAACTCTATTTTGGTCTTATCCTTCCAGATTAGAATGTTTCAGAAGCAGTGGGGAGTGTCAAGCTGGTGTCAGGCATATTGTAACTGGGCTTTTTTGTGGCATTGGTGTACCAAAGGCTTCTTTCTGGCAACTCAGCCATGCAGCTCATATTTCAAGTATCATCATATTGTGCTCCTTGAAACAACCAAACCATCTTTTTTCTAGAATAGCCTGTATTTCTCCTAAGGTTACCTGTGGGTTTTTTTTTCTGTATCCCGAACAATTCTTTTGGCAGTTGTGGCTGCAATCTTTTTTGGTCTACCTGACCATAGCTTGTTATCAAGAGATCCCCAAATGTTCCACTTGTTAATAGGTGATTGAACAGTACTGACTGGCATATTCAAGGCTTTGGATGTCATTTTATATCCTTTCCTTTATAACATTCCATTGCCTTGTTGTGTAGGTCTTTTGACAGTCCTATTCTGCTCTCCATGGCTCAGTATCTAGCCTGCTCAGTGCATCCATGTGAGAGCTAACAAACTCATTGAGTATTTGCACACAGCCACTAATTGCAATTTAAAAAGCCACAGATGTGGGAAATTAACCTTAAATTTTAATTTTACCCCCTGTGTGTCACCTTGTGTGTCTGTACCCAGGCCAAACATTCCAGGGGATGTAAACTTTTGATCAGGTCTGTTTGGGTGATTTTTATTACCATTATGATTTGAAGAGGAACCAGGGCTTCCTTTCCTCATTCCCAGCAAAGAGCAAAGGAACCTGAGTATGTGCAGCATGGGAGGGGGCCTTAACGCAAACCTGTTGCTTTGCCATTCTCTTTCATATTATTAATGAAAAGAGTGTATGCACACCTATATACTTTTATAATTGGTGCAGCCTCTTCTATTGGCAAGATGTTGTATCAGCTGAACACACCCATGCAGCAGTTAAACCGGAAATAAGCCTATTGATTTAACACTTTCAAACAGTCACATTTTGCTTGTGCTCTCAACCAAACTATCAAATAGCTGGTGTCATAACTGATCACATGTGCAGCATCATGGCAGTTGAAGATCAAACAGAGGCCAAGATGGCAGCTGTCTTGGCTGAAAAGGATAGGAGGGTTTAGTTCTTCCTTAAGTGGTGTTTTTAACCTATTACTGATTTCTGTACAAAACTGTTTCAGTTCATTTATACTTCTGGGATATGTTTTAGTGGTTTCAGATCAGTGCATGACTTTTGGACTCTTATCTACCTGACTGTGTGTATTGCTGGTGACACAGGTTCTTCAAAATCTTTTCAACCCTTTTTAATCTTAAGAGCTTTAGGTACCCTTCTTTTATGTAGGATGATCTCTTTCCCATTCTCCTAGATTGTAAGCTCGTAAGAGTAGGGCCCTCTTACCCCTCGTACGTTGTTTGTTGTTGTTGTACTGTGCCATGTATTGTCCCCCCTATTGTACAGCGCTGAGCAAACCCTTTGGCGCTATATAAACTCGTAGTAATAATAATAATAATTCAGGCTTCTTAGGGAATGTTTGTGGTTGTCAAAGTATCTTCTGTGGCCTTTGACACCCTACCTATCTTTTAGAAGTCTAGGTAAACTATCATTGGCATCTAAACCACAAAAGGAATATGAGAGGTGACAACACAACAAACACTACAGAGCAGATATCTGAGAGATCTTGTTTTTCAGTGATAATAAGTGCAGTAACCCAACTATCTGTATCATAGTGCTGGCCTGCTCTCGGCAGAGTTAATGGTTGTTGTGGAATACTGCACTTAAGAATTAGCACCTAAAAATAAGAAGTCATTAATGGGTCTGAGGATATTCTGGCTTATCAATACACGCTAAAATATGCCATGTTATAGTAGTATCTAACAAGTTATTATCCCTCTTTTTATGCTACTTTTGATTCATTGTTGTCATACACACTAATTCTTTTCACCTATTAAAAATGAATGTTGTTGGCACATTATTTCTACTTGTAATACTTGTATAATAAATCCTGTATAATACTTGTATGCAGTTTAAACAACTGTGTGCAGCATTTTACAAAAAATGGTGACATCTAGTGGTCAGTTTGCAAACTGACATTTGAATCCTCCAGGCACAATTAATGCAATCAAACTATATTTACTCTTATCACAAAGGTCTGTAAATAGCATGAAAGCTTGAAATCGTGTTTTAAGCAGTGTATCTTTTAGCAGGCAGACATGCCATCTCCAAATACCATGTGTATGCACATTTCATCATTTAAATGTATCCTTATACGTTTGTATTTAACAGAAAATACAAATTAATGTTGTTTTTTTTTTGTCAGTGATCTGTGGTAATCAGTCGCAAAGTCAGAAATTATCTTTTAAAAAAATTAAAGACAGGGTATTTTATTGAATGTCATTTCTGTTCATGTCTAGTTTTTATTCCTCTAATTCCTTTTCACTCTCTATTTTCGAAGACTGATCACCTGCTTTTAACATGTAAAGGGGCATCGCTGTTTGCTAAGTCGCAAGGCATCCCAGAAATTCCTGGTGAAGAACTCATCACTGAGCGCTCAAGAGAAAGATGGAAGAAAAATCTAAAATCTGGTTCAATTCCAAAGTCAGTTGTAAGCCCAGTGTAATATATTTTTTTGTAATCAGTTCATTCTTGTATGAAATTCAGAATTTTTGTTAGGAAATAAAAGCTAAAGTGTTGCGCATAGAACCTAGTCAAATTCCATCTTTCATATTGTGTGTGTATGTGTATATGTATCTCTCTACAGGGGTTGGACAAAGTTATGGAAAAATAAACGTAATTACTAAATATGGTGCTGGACAGCCTTTGGCAACCAAGACGGCCTAAATTCTCCTGGGAATTGACAAATATTAGTCCTGGATAGTGGATAATGGAATCTGATACCACACTTCATCCAAAAATCACTCAATCAGATATTTGTCTAACCCCTGTATATATATGAAAGTGTAACTCTGTAATGCACTTGGCACCGCAATGCACTGTACACTGTAATGCACTTGGCACCGCAATGCACTGTACACTGTAATGCACTTGGCACCGCAATGCACTGTACTCTGTAACATACTTGGCACCGCAATGCACTGTACTCTGTAACGCACTGGACAGCGCAATGCACAGTAATCTGTAACGCACTTGGCACCGCCATGCACTGTACACTGTAATGCACTTGGCACCGCAATGCACTGTACTCTGTAACGCACTGGACAGCGCAATGCACAGTACTCTGTAACGCACTTGGCACCGCCATGCACTGTACACTGTAATGCACTTGGCACCGCAATGCACTGTAACGCACTGGACACCACAGTGCACTGTACTTTGTAACGCACTTGGCACCGCAATGCACTGTACTCTGTAACGCACTGGACAGCGCAATGCACAGTACTCTGTAATGCACTTGGCACCGCCATGCACTGTACACTGTAATGCACTTGGCACCGCAATGCACTGTAACGCACTGGACACCACAGTGCACTGTACTTTGTAACGCACTTGGCACCGCAATGCACAGTACTCTGTAACTCACATGGCACCGCAATGCATTCTACACTGTAACACACTGGACACCACAATGCACTGTACTCTGTAACATACTTCGCACCGCAATGCACTGTACACTGTAATGCACTGGACACCACAATGCGCTGAACACTGTAACGCACTTGGCACCGCCATGCACTGTACACTGTAACATATGGACACCGCAATGCACTGTACATTGTAACATATGGACACCGCAATGCACTGTACTCTGTAACAGACTGTACTCTGATACACTGTAACACATGGACACTGCAATACACTGTACACTGTAACGCATGGACACCGCAATGCACTGTACCTTGTAACACACTGGACACTGCAATGCACTGTACTCTGTAACATATGGACACCGCAATGCACTGTACACTGTAACATATGGACACCGCAATGCACTGTACTCTGTAACAGACTGTACTCTGATACACTGCACACTGTAACACATGGACACTGCAATACACTGTACCTGGGGCCTTATGTGCTTTCCTCCTCTCCTATTGCTTCTCTGGCTGCAGTAGGTGAAATCAGGGCCTTTTTTTTTTTTTTCCGGCTGGCCTGGTGGGCTGGATAAATGGCTTTGGTGGACCGTATGCATCCCGGGGGCCATAGTGTGAGGACCTCTGGTCTAGACAGTAATTGTTGGCCCTGTGCTGATCACATGCATCCTTCCAAAGAAAAAAAAAACTCTCTAGCAATACACACTAAACTGAGCATGTACAGAGTGACTCCTAGAGCTCTGTACTATCAGAAGATGGATTGGGGACAGGAGAAAAAGGGGAGGATCAGAGAGAACAGGATGAAACAGCCTTTTAACACAATTCAGAGGATTTACCCCTTAGGTTCCACAGTGAGTATAACAAGCATTCTTCACTTGATATATAGACTCATTTTACTGTTGTGGGTTTAGTAACACTTTAACCTGAAAGATGGACACTAATGCAGCCACCAATCTAAGGACTGTTAAGCCGCAATACATTACATTTTTAATTATTGGGTTTAAATATCCTTTACGCTTACAAAATTATTCGTTTTACAGTACTTCTGCTGTGCCTAGCCTATAAGAGACACTTTATATTATATAAAACTGCAATCCAATCACATATAAAAGGGACATATGAATGCAGCATGATAGAGGATAACTTTCTACTCATTTCTGCTTTTTAGTGTTAGCTGCGACATGATGTTATATGAGTGGAATATTTTATGTTTTTACTAATAAAATAGAGGGGTTTACATGATGGAGATTTCTTTTTGCTTCCTCATTTGGGCTGTGCTATGGGCACTTGGAATACACAGTGAGGCATTCTTGGGAAGATTGAGTGATCCTTTGGACGCTAATGTGGAATCAGAGCTTGTGCTGAGAGACTAAATAACAAATTTCTGCCTAAGGAGAGGGAGAGATCCTATGGGTTGGTGTTTTAATGCTGATAATGGCATACCTCTGGTGAGTTGTTAACTTGTACATGGTGACTGTGGTCACATTTGGAGGTGTATTCAAGTGTATATAAAGGGTTGGTGGACTATTGAACACAAGCACCTTTCTACAAAAAAGCTTATATATGCACATGACGTTTTGAATTTGTGATTCTACTTATGCACTGGACACTTTGGACGATGATTATTATTATTATACAGGATTTATATAGCACCAACAGTTTACGCAGCGCTTTACAACATGAGGGCAGACAATACAGTTATAATACAATTCAATACAGTAGGAATTAGAGGGCCCTGCTCATTAGGGCTTAAAATCTAGGAGATTGCTCTTAGATTGTAAGCTCCAAGGAGCAGGGCCCTCCTAACCCTCTTGTATTGAACTGTATTGTCTCCCGTTATATTGTAAACCGCTGAGCAAACTGTTGGTGCTATATAAATCTTGTATAATAATAATAATGAGAGAGTGTCAAGTGATACAAAAAGTAATAACTTTGAGATAGTTGAACAGATTGGGGTAAAGAGTACCATAGGATGGGAGAGACCCAGGAAAAGTCCTGGAAGTAAGTATGGGAGGGAGCTAGAGAGTAAGAAGTCTTGAGAGGAACGAAGAGAACAATAAGTTATTTTGAGACTAGGTTAGTGATGTAGCTGGGGGCCATGTAGGGTGGCTTTGTTGGTTGTGGATTGTTTATTTATTCTGCATTGGACATTCTGTGTAATTATATGCATTTATTTTATTGTTTTTTGGTAATAGTGACAAATTTGTTTTTTATTAGATGAATTGATATTGCACTTAGTTTTTGATCAGTTAGTTTTTAATTTTTATCTGCTTATTTTTATTTTTTTAGGGGTGATAGCACTATCATTTTTTATTTTTCACATGATCTTTCAGTATTATAATGTAGGGCTCAGCTACCCAAACTCACTTTGGATGTGCTACTGCTGTATGACTGGACATGGAATTTGATAAAATGCTAGGCGTAATGCAATGACATTTTATGTGCTATTATGGGTTGTTATTGCCCAATAAAAAAAACCAAAACATTTTTATTGGCTGTCACTGCAGCTAGTAGTCAGATGTGCATGATTCTTATTTACCGTATGGCTTGACTTAAACTCACTTCTTTGTCAGTGCAGTATTCTACAGTTTTGAAAAAAAAAAATAACTATATGAAATCTGGTTGCTCACTAATGCCAGAAATAGCTACAAAATCTGGAAATCATAACCTCCTAAGTTTAGATAAAACTAGGGAGCTGTGTGATTTTTTTCTCCTCTTTAAACATTTTATTTTCAATGAAGTCCTTCTAAACTACCAGACACAGGGAAGCTGATTTACTAAAGGATTTAAAAATGTTCACACAAAAATTGAGAGGAGATTCATTTCAATTATCTAATCATGGAGGGATGAAATAGACAAGAATTTGTTTTACATATGTTTGGATAATTAATGTGGATCTTCACTCTTTTTTTGTTTGAACATTCTCAACTCCTTTAATAAATTAGTCCCGATGTATAGAAGTCAAAACTGTACAGACAGCTGCTCTCAGTGGGTCTTGATTCTAATACACAGGAGTGTTCAGTGAGCTTAGGACACAGTGGCAGAAGCTAACTTGTACACAAAATAAAGTTGGCAAGCAAAAAAAAAAACTTTTAGTCTGGCAGGATTTACATAACTGCTTACTGCACTACACTGAGATTTTGTTTCTTTTTTTGTAGAGGTACAGGGACTGTTGGGGCTGTGGCTGTTGACAGCCAAGGAAATGTGGCTTGTGCGACCTCTACTGGTGGAGTCAGTAATAAAATGGTTGGACGTGTTGGAGATACACCATGTATAGGTGAGAGAAAACCTCATGACTTATTTCTGAACTTGCCTCACAGTCAGCAAAAGACAGTAAAGCTGTGCGTGCATTTGGCCTTTTACTTGCATTATAAGAGATTCAATCCTAAATCGTATAATCAAAGGTAATTGTTTTTAGACATTTATTTTGTGTAATCTGTTTCACAGCTGTACAGCTGACTTCTGGTTTCTCTACTTCATTGGTATATAGCTTAATGCTTTTTTGCAATCATCATTCCTACAACACTTACCTAAGCCCAATCTCAATCCTGCAATGTTCCCATCTGCAGCAGCTCTCTCCTTTCTCTTTGTTCACAGAAGCAGCAGCTGGAATCATTTGGCTCCTGCTGCTATCAATCAAATATTGTGAGCAGAAAGTGGAAGACTGGTCTGAGCCACACTATGGGTGTTTAAAGACGCACACAGCTCGGCTCTGGATCGAGTCCGCAGGTGTGCCCCCATAGCAAGCGGCTTGCTATGGAGGCACACATAGCAGATGAGGAGCCAAGAGTGCCATTAGGGGACCCCAGAAGAGATGGTTTGGGGCTACTCTGTGCAAACCATTGCATAGAGCAGGTAAACATAAAATGTTTGGCATTTTAGAAAAAAAATCCTTGAAAATCACTTAAGATATTTGAGTATATCAAATACTAAAGATGCTGGTGGTGACAGGGAGATTTGCTTGGACCTAAAGTGTTTCCAAGGCAAAAGTTTTTTTTTTTTTTTACCTTAATACATTCTCTGCATTAAGGTAAAAACCTTCTAATGTCTATGCCTCCCCCCTAAACACTTACCTGACACCACTCGCTGTCCCCACCAACAGCCCTGTTGTCCTTTCTTTAGTGAGAGCAGTGGGAGCCATTATCTCCTGCTGCTGTCAGTCAAATCCTGTTAGGAAGGATTGGGGGGGGGGGGCCCAAGTCACCTTTGTATGTATGGATGCCCAAAGCCTAGATTGGGAGTGCGCCTGCATGTGTGCCCCCAGGTTTGCTATGAGGGCACTCAGAGAAGTGGCAGGGGACCCATGAAGAGGAGGTAAGGGGCTGCTCTGTGCAATATCATTGCACAGAGAAGGTAAGTATAACATGTTTGTTTTATTAAAAATGTAGCTTTACAGTCACTTTAAAACATACACCCTTTTTTATGATTTCACTATTCTTTAATCCTTTTACTGGTTGTTTTATGTTCTGTATGTTTCTTTCAGGTAGCGGGGGCTATGCAGATAACAATGTTGGTGCAGTTTCTACTACAGGAGTTGGGGAAAGCATTATGAAAGTAACACTAGCCAGACTTATCCTGCATTATATGGAGCAAGGTAAATTATCTATAAAACTTTGTTTCAGGTCTTGTAACCATAGTGATTTTCGAAAAGGGAAGTTGTTATATTGACATTATTGGAGTAATATATCATCTGTTCTAGTGCATAGATATACCATGCTGCTCATCATGGTTACCCAAGGTTAGACACTTTTAACTGCTGGATAACAGTACAAAGAGAAGAAGTATGCAATAACTCAGATATATTGGATTGGAAATGAGTGTTTACTCTGCAGCACTCTCTACTCTTTTCAAAAGAATATGTCAAGAAAATAAAAATTACACTGGAGTTGATAAACTGGAGAGTGCAAAATCTAGTGCAGCTATGCATGGTAGCCAATCAGCTTTTAACTTCAGCTTGTTCAATTAAACTTTGACTATGAAACCTGAAGATGATTGGTTTCTATGCAGAGCTGCACCAGACTTTGCACTCTCCAGTTTTAGTAATTCAGCCTCACTGTTGTATGTTTACCACTTCCCCTGTCACACCTTTTTACCCCCTATGGGCCAGATCACTTTTTATAATTTGGCTATGGAGCTGTTTATTTGACAATAATTTGTTTTTTTAAGGGCAAAGGCAAACAAGGCTTTCTTTTGGTGATATTGTCTTGCAAAAATAAATTTTTTACCACAATATGTAGACAGTAAAATGTAACAAAACTAAGAAAAGGATTTTTTTTCTTTATTTGACCAGTGTTAGTTTGAAAATAAATAGTGTTATTGTAGATTTAAAATAACACTAAATTATGATTTTAGTACAAAGCAATTTTTTTTACAAATGAAACAAAGTAATTTGTTCCAATTTTGCTTTAACTACTTGCCCCTCCAAGGACATGCACATCGTTTTGCAGGTAAATAAATTATTTTTACAGGTTAACATATTAAAACAGGTGAATTTATCCTTTAACCACTTCCCAACCGCGCTATAGCTAAAAGACGGCTATAGCGCGGTTGTACAGTTCTGGGAGGGCATCCATGGGACTTCCTATGGACACAGCTGATTACGTGATGAGTTAAAAGGCCAATCACAGCCACCTTTTGACACAACAGATCACAAAGTAAATACAGTTGCCAGTTATCGGCAACACTTTCCTTACACTGTCACAGCATGAGGAAAGTACTACAGATAACCGGCAAATGTGACGGGAGATCTGCACTGATAATCAGGGCACCTGTCAGTCCTGTCCAGCAGTGCCGCCAGTCGGCGCTGTCAGTCAGTGCCGCCCCTCAGTACCTCCTATCAGTGCCCATCATTGTTGCATATCAGTGCATCATCAGTGCCTCCTCATCTATGCCCACCAGTGCCAGCTCATCAGCGCTGCCTTACCAGTGCCCATCAGTGCTACCTATCAGTGCCGCCACATTAGTGCCCATTAGTTCTGCCTACCAGTACCCATCAGTGCTGCCTATCAGTGCAGCCTCATCAATGCACATCAGTGAAGGAGAAAAATTACCTGTTTGCAAAATTTTATAATAGAAAAAAAAACTTTTTTTTTTTTCAAATATTTTGCTCTTTTTTTGTTTACAGTGCAAAAAATAAAAACCCCACTGGCGATTAAATACCACCAAAAGAAAGCTCTATTTGTGTGAAAAAAAATTATAACAATTTCATATGGGTGCAGTGTTGCATGACTGTGCAATTGTCATTCAAAGTGCAACGGAAAGCTGAAAATTGGCCTCGGCACGAAGGGGTGAAAGTACCCGGTAGGCAAATGATTAAACATATACTTGTTAAAAATTAAATGGTATAGTGCTTATCAACACATTAACAGATATATTACACTTATTTGTTTTCAGTTATAAACCAAAAATCATGCAAAAAGCATCTATGGGCTCTTTCACACGGGTGTTTCGTGTGTCCGTTTTTCATCTGTCCCTTTACGGATGAAAACCGGAAAACCATATATTTTGTATGAACTAGTGCATGTAAACAGATGGTCATCCGTTTACATCTGTTTGTGTCCACATCCGTTAACATCTGTTTTTTTTTAATGGAAGAAAACCCTATTTTTCTTCCGTTAAAAAAAAAAAAAAAAAAAAAACCCAGAACGGATGAAAAACGAATAAACAAATGTAAACAGATGCAAACAGACATATGCTCCATTTTTGTATTGGTAAAGGATGTGAAAAAACTGATGTAAACTGATGGAAAACGGATGTATACTGATCTGTTTTTTCTTGGAAAAAACGTGACTGAACTGATGAAAAAAACAGAACGCCCGTTTGAAAGGACCCTATGCTTATTCCTTTGCACACAACAATATGCATATAAACTCTTGTGAAAAAAATATTCCCTCCTTTTCTTTCAGCTCTGTATACCTCCACCACCAGTTCTGCTCTCCCCTTCAGAATATGACCCACGTATACATACAAGGTCACAAAAGCTTGTGTCTCCATTAAAGCAAATCCTCCCTTTCCCAGTAAGATTTGACCCCTTAGACTCAGCTCCTTCCGAATATGACCCACATATACAGTGGGGCAAAAAAGTATTTAGTCAGCCACCAATTTTGCAAGTTCTCCCACTTAAAAAGATGAGAGAGGCCTGTAATTGGCATCATAGGTAGACCTCAACTATGAGAGACAAAATGAGAATAAAAATCCAGACAATCACATTGGCTGATTTGGAAAGAATTTATTTGCAAATTATGGTGGAAAATAAGTATTTGGTCAATATCAAAAGTTCATCTCAGTACTTTGTTATATATCCTTTGTTGGCAATGACAGAGGTCAAACATTTCCTGTAAGTCTTCACAAGGTTGGCACACACTGTTGCTGGTATGTTGGCCCATTCATCCATGCAGATCTCCTCTAGAGCAGTGATGTTTTGGGGCTGTCGCTGGGCAACACAGACTTTCAACTCCCTCCAAAGGTTTTCTATGGGGTTGAGATCTGGAGACTGGCTAGGCCACTCCAGGACCTTGAAATGTTTCTTACGAAGTCACTCCTTCGTTGCCCGGGCGGTATGTTTAAGATCATTGTCATGTTGGAAGACCCAGCCACATTTCATCTTCAATGCCCTTGCTGATGGAAGGAGGTTTGCACTCAAAATCTCACGATACATGGCCCCATTCATTCTCTCCTGTACATGGATCAGTCGTCCTAGTCCCTTTGCGGAAAAGCAGCCCCAAAGCATGATGTTGCCACCCCCATGCTTCACAGTAGGTATGGTGTTCTTTGGATGCAACTCGGCATTCTCTCTCCTCCAAACACGACGAGTTGTGTTTCTACCAAACAGTTCTATTTTGGTTTCATCTGCCCATATGACATTCCCCCAATCCTCTTCTGGATCATCCAAATGCTCTCTAGCAAACTTCAGACGGGCCCGGACATGTACTGGATTAAGCAGGGGGACACGTCTGGCACTGCAGGATCTGAGTCCCTGGCGGCGTAGTGTGTTACTGATGGTAGCCTTTGTTACGTTGGTCCCAGCTCTCTGCAGGTCATTCACTAGGTCCCCCCGTGTGATCCTGGGATTTTTGCTCACCATTCTTGTGATCATTTTGACCCCACGGGGTGAGATCTTGCGTGGAGCCCCAGATCGAGGGAGATTATCAGTGGTCTTGTATGTCTTCCATTTTCTAATTATTGCTCCCACAGTTGATTTGTTCACACCAAGCTACTTGCCTATTGCAGATTCAGTCTTCCCAGCCTGGTGCAGGTCTACAAATTTGTTTCTGGTGTCCTTTGACAGCTCTTTGGTCTTCACCATAGAGGAGTTTGGAGTGTGACTGTTTGAGGTTGTGGACAGGTGTCTTTTACAGTCAGGTCCATAAATATTGGGACATCGACACAATTCTAACATTTTTGGCTCTATACACCACCACAATGGATTTGAAATGAAACGAACAAGATGTGCTTTAACTGCAGACTGTCAGCTTTAATTTGAGGGTATTTACATCCAAATCAGGTGAACGGTGTAGGAATTGCAACAGTTTGCATATGTGCCTCCCACTTGTCAATTACAGGCCTCTCTCATCTTTTTAAGTGGGAGAACTTGCACGATTGGTGGCCGACTAAATACTTTTTTGCCCCACTGTACATAGAGTATGTATATTCTGTGTGTATATACAGTGATATGAAAAAGTATTTCCCCCTACCTGTGGTTTTTTTTTTTTGTTTGTTTTTTTTTTTCATATTTGTCAGACTTAAACGATTCAGATCATCATACAAATTTTAATATTACACAAAGATAACCCCAATAAATACAAAATGCAGTTTTTAACCACTTTACCTCCGTAAGACTTATGTTTATTTTTTGCGATACGGTGCTGCATTACTTTAACTGACAATTGCGCTGTCATGCAACGCTGTATATCAATGAAATTTGTCATTTTTTTCCCAACAAATAGAGCTTTCTTTTGGTGGTATTTGATCACCTGAGTTTTTTATCTTTTGCTCTATAAACGAAAAAACACCAACGTTTTAAAAAAAAAAAAAAAAAACTATATTTTTTACTTTCTGCTATAAAACATATCCAATACAAAAATCAAAATTTCTTCATAAATTTAGGCCAAAATGTATTCTACTACATGTTTTTGTTAAAAATATCCCAATACACATGGATTGATTGGTTTGCGCAAAAGTTATAGCATCTACAAATGGCGGTATATATACTTTTTTTTTTTTTTTTTTTAATATACTAGTAATGGCGGCAATCAACGACTTATAGCGGGACTGCGATATTACGGCAGACACTCTGACACTGACTGACTCTTTGTGGGGAACCGGAGACACTAATACAGTGATCAGTGCTAAAAATATACACTGTCACTGTATTAATGACACTGGCAGGAAAGGGGTCCTTGGTGATCAATGGGTGCCGGCAATCACCTATTGGCTGGCACCTGTTGATCAGCTTCTGCTGAGTCCAACCAAAGCAGAACAAGCGCTCCATCACACACGTGACCCCTTGTGGTGGAGGTGCAAAATCACGTTTATATACGTGATTTTGCACAGAGCGTCTGCCCTGTAGTAGTAAATCTGCTATAGGGCAGACTT